TCAGTGCAGATAATATGGTGACCGATGCCGAATTCCACTACTTGTGTTGAGAGGGAGGACGGATGCTCCTGAGGCTAATACCGCAGCGCTTTTTCCTAATTTCCAAACAAATTTCTAAACCTTTGGGAAAAGTAAATTGTGGATAAATCCCAAAAGCATTTCTCCCCACAAACATTGAAAAAGTTATTGTAGGAGTGGGGGAGTGAAATGAAATGCAGCAGGTCCTCACTTTATCAGAAATAATACTTCTAGAAGGTGGAACGAACTTGATACTGATAACGTAAAGTTGAACAAAATTGAGGAGATTAAGATTAAGTGCACTGCTTCCCTCTCAATCCTCATGACCAGTCCTTTTGAACTTATGTGTGTTCCAACTCCTGAACAAATATCTCACATTGTTATGCCTAACCCTTTGTTAAAAGTTTTCTTTCTTTCTTTCTTTCTTCAGATGGCCATGTCGATGTATTACAACGTACAGTACACCATCCAGGAGACCACCTGCCCCAGGACCACAGAAGCAGTCACAGCTGAAAAGTGCCCCCTCATGGAGTGCGAGTTTGCAGTGAGTCATGAAAAATTGTTATTTAGAATATTGTATCTTGAGCAAATGGATTGTTTCTTTTAACTTTCATTATTTGTTTTGCATGTTAAAGAGAGAAATAGTAATCCTTCATGTCAGTTAGTACTTTGGTCAATTAGTTCTCAACGCTGTGTCTCCTACTATTACATGCTTGAGTAGAACTGTATTTGACTTAAATCCTCACAGAACCTTCTTGGAGAAAAAATCAAATTGAAGCCAGTTTTTATTCTGTCTTTTTAGTTTTAAGTGTAATAAATATGGGGATTATTTGAGTTTTTAATGCAGTAACCAAAGATGCCCAGAAGCATCCTTTTGTTATGCGCATTGCTCTGGATCAGTGTGTTTTGAGTTCATATCAGTGAGTAAGTTTAGGAAAGCAGAGGATTACTCTAAAATTCTGTTTATTCAACTCTATTGAAGCCACAGGCATAACCATGCATCCACTCTCTCATCTCTCACCTGTTTTTTTTCTGTTCTCTGCTCTCCACAGCACAAGGGCTTCTGTAAGGCATCCTTCTTCAACTCTCCCACTGGTGATGGTGACACCAGTGTAGATTGTGAAATCTATGAGCCTGAGGTAAGACTCACTAGGCCATAATAAAACACATAGTGTCACATTGATTTACTTATCACTTTTGTATTGTTGTTGTATTTTGTATCTGTAGTAAAAAAGGAAAAACAGACATGAATTATTATTATTTCATAATTCAATTTATAAGATTTCAATTATAACAAAAAATCAAACGTCATTCTTTTAGATCTGTAGACTTGAGTAACAAAAAAGAAGACTTGACTCTGTCCCTATTGATCTGACTTGACTTGAGACTCGGATAAAAACGTCACGTTTGGTAGAATACCAGAACAAAGCTAAGGCTTTGCATAACCACAGATTTTAGATTATTAGTGCTTATTGCTTTGAAATGGTCTCAGCTATGTAAATGGTATTTACACCATGTATAAACATTTTGAATTATTTAGACCAAAAAATGTGGTTGAAAGTTCAGAAAATGTGTCATTTTAATAATCAGCATTCATACACATCTTGACGGCAATTGCTTGTAAGGTTTGGGTAATCTCAAAGATTTTAGACTTGATGTTCAGATTATAATAATATATATAATAATAATAATAATATGATAATTCAGATTTAGGTCTTGTTTTCATTATCATTTCTAACACCAAAGATCTGGGAACACGGTGACATCCAGTGGAGCAAGAACTTGTTCCTTCAAACGATCAGACAGGTTGTTTTACACTGCCTGACTTCCTAAAAGCGATGATCTCAGCGGTTATTTTGGTGATAACGATGTTAATGTATGGAAAAGATAACCACACAATAAGACCCAAGTTGTATTTAAGATTTGTAAAATTCTCTTTCACAACTTGATCAGAAAGACTTCAAACTTGGACTTTGGCTTTGCATTCTTCTTATGCAGTTGATGTTATGTATTTATCTTAAATCAACCAGTTTACCCAAATTGTTATGTAATACACATCACTCGTTTTATCTTTACATGTTCTACAGGCTGCTGAAAGAGAGAAGAAACTGCACCTGCTGGGCGGAGAGACCGACCACAGCCACAACGACACACATGCACACAGCCACACCCATGACCACGCACACGGTGCTGACCAGACACACACACACGACCACGTACACGACCACACCAAGAGCCACACCCATCACGACAAAACCCACAAGCACGCTGACAACAACGACCACCACCACACACACGACCATGGTGCAGACAGTACCCACAGGCACGCTCACAGCCACTCCCATGACCACGGACATGGGCACGATCATGTGCACACTCATCACGCCAAGGCACACAACCACTCCGGCGACTCCCCAAACCACCACCACGACTACAAGCACGCCGATGGCGAGCACACCCACGAGCATGACCACGAGCTCGCTCTGGACCATGACCACAATCACGGTCATCTGCACGACCACGAGCACCACCACCATCACCACGAGCACAACCATGAGAATGAAACCCACGACCACCCAAAAGGCATGGTGAGGATGCTGCCCGCCATGGACCAGCCCATGACCCTGCCTTCCTTCCCTGATGTCCCCGCCGGTGGCCCTGAGGTGGGAGTCACACTACCCCTCAAGCCCGACCCACAGATCCCCAGTGAGATGGAACCCACCATCGAGGCCTTCCCCACCTCAGTCTCAGCCCAGTGCAGTCCCCGAGTGGCAGGAGCCACTCTGGTCGAGAAACTGTTTGCTGAAGACCCCATGTTCAAGCCAGCTGCGTAAGGTGGCCCATGGATCTCACTTGGGAACTAAACAGATCTTAAAAAACTCAGACTGAAGTGAAATGAAGACCGGAAAACATTTAACAGATTTTCTCCAGACACTTCACCACTTAACTGATCATTTCTTTTTTTAAATCCTCAGAGACGACAAAACTGTGAAAACTGACCACAATATGCCCACATTCTTCATCATTCTGAGTCACAATAAAATCATCCTGTGAAACATGAAAGTTTTCTGTTTGTATGTTATCTGTTCTTGACTGCAAAAAAAATAATAAATGATACAACAAATATGTCAGTGAAGATTCTCTGAGATCCAGGGAGGGTTAAAATCAAGGGCAACTTGACTTGATAAAAGATATCTGAAGACCAAGTCCAGTGGTCTACTCTTCTTAGATAGCACAAATACTTAATCAGTATTTCTGGGATTTATCTAGATCCATTTTGTGTTGATTTAATACACTTGTCCCCCCACACAACATACTCTCCCTGTGTTTCCGGTCACTTATCTCACTAGTGTCATCATTCAAACCAAACGGTATGAAAAAACATCTACAATATGTTTATATAAGGAAGGTTTGACAAGATTTCAAGTGAATTAGACTCATGAACATTTAGTAATCCTATTTAAATTCATCATGTTGGCATAGCACCACCTACTGTAGGGTAGGGTTATCAACAGGTGAAAATAGCTCCACACCACACCACATTTCCTTTCTGCCTTTCTTTCACAGGTTTCATGAGAAAGTGTGCAAACATTTAAAAAAAAGACTGGTTTGGTTCTTAGGTCACATGGGTTCTACAGTCATGTGACACAGGCCAGCTAAATGTGTCAGGGCTGTTTATTGGCACAAACATTACACAAACGTACTGAAAACATTTGGTAGCAACAACGTCCAACTAGGGCCAGTGTAGGTTAAAAGAAGGTAAGTTACAAAACAAACGTACAGAGCCCGGGGAGGGGGCTAATTATTTATTATTAATTATTTTTTTCATGTAAATTTGCCACTTTAATTTCAAAGAATATCATAGTTTTTTTCTCATAAATGTTTGACTTTTATCTTGGAGTTTTTTCTCAGAATATTACCCGAGTCACCCAGCTTCATCATTATTTTTTAACTACATTGGCCCTAATATGCCATGAGAGATGCAGCCACTTACATTTTGTAGTTTTTCATGAGTAGCTTAGTATCAAAGTATCAACCCTGCAGTATCAATCTGGCCATCCCTAGTATAAACTACACTCACCTACTCTGTGTACATTATCTCTGTGGCCATTTATTGTTAACGTCAGTTTTACACACTTAGCAAACAGCTTTTATAAGTGTTCATTAGCCCTTATACAAAACCCACACTTAACGGACTGCAATTCTGATTTGTTGCAAAAGTGACACATTTGTAATTTGCAGGTAAGGATTGAATCTAGGCCAATGATAAAAACTTGAGAAATAATGTACAATACTTGTGCACTAATGTGTGGTCAAGCATTTTAATTTTTTTATGATCAGATCAAATTCCTTTAAAGAAATACTCCAATAAAGACCAAGACTCATAACTAAACAGAAGCAGCAAGTGACCCAAAATACTATTTGGCCTACATTGCTGTGCCACATGGGGGGAAAAACAACAATAACAACAAAGTGAAAACTGTTTTTAGCCTGGCTGACCCTTTAAAAAATTTTTGGCTGCATCATTGCTAACACATTAGCTGGTTGCATTTTTTTTTAATTTGTCATGTGCACTCTTTGTTAAGTCTGACAAAGGTAAACAGTTAACTGTGCTAGCACCACAAGAAAGTTATGTGTTTAGCTAAATTTCTGGCAAAAAATGTGTTTGGACACTGAGAGAAGTAGCTTCAGTAGCTGTTTGCAAAGGTTCTACATTTTGATTTTAGTTGTGTTGTAACTTTTCGACTTTTCATTGTACCAAAACCCAAAACACACAGTAGGTTTTTGATGAGGCTTTCCTTTAAATGAGGCTGTTTGGAACATGTTGCAGCATTTTCATTGATGATGTTGTCACATTAAAGAAATTAAATTAGGTGCACTGGATTACATGAACTTTTCTTTGAGTTAATTTCCCCTGTTGCCCAGTGCACTATGACCCTTGAGCCAGCCGTTGGCCTACAGAGCAGCAGATAGCAGCTGTTTGCTCATCCTTTGCGGAAGAGGAGAAAGTCCAACATCAGCCTCATGTGTCTGTCCAAACCGTGTCTGTAAAAACTAGGATTATAGGTATTAGAAAGGAAGACCTAAGACCGGGGCCTGTGTAAGTCTATGTGTGTGATTGCGGTGGGGTGTTAGAGGATGAATGTGTACCTGCTGGTCCTGTGTCTGGCTTTGCTGCAGCAGGAGGGAATTGCCAGGCCAGACCCTCCAGGCTGCAACAGTCCTGAGGTGGTGAGGGTGGCAGAAGAGGCCCTGGAGCAGATCAACCAGGACCGGACAAATGGATACATCCTGAGCCTCAACAGACTATACGACCTCTCTCACACTCCTGAAAAGGTGAGGGCAAACACTCACACACACACATGCACGCACTAAAACATCTACACCATCTTGGAAAGGTGCAACAGTATTTGCAGAAAGAGGGTGTAAACAGCCAGTGGGGCAGCAGGCTTGTTTGCAGAGCAAAGAAAATAATAAGAAAAAAACTAACTGTGTGTGTGTGTGTGTGTGTGTGTGTGTGTGTGTGTGTGTGCATGCTCATCCCCAGGAGAAAGGTGGGTCATTCTACAAACTGATCATTGATGTCATGGAGACCAAATGCCACATCACCAGCAGGAAACCATGGAAACAGTGTGAAGTGAGAAACATTGGTGACGTTCCAGTAAGTGCCACATGGTGGTGTATCAACACAATGAGCACTTTTTTTGTTGGCGACAGCCAGTGATGGGCAAATTACTTGGAAATTGTAATTACTTAAGGAATAATAAGTAACTAATTACTTATTATTCCTTAAAGTAATAATAACACTTTACTGGTTTACTGGTTTTTAAAAGTAACAAGTTACATTACCTGTTACGTTATTAAGCGGTCACTACTGAATTTTTACTAAGCAACAGCAACAAGGAGTATGTTTTAAAGTAAAGCAAGTGAATCCCGACTTTGGAGATGCATATTCACATGCATATTCACTTTCTCCCGACAAGTACATGCATTACTGGCTGGATGGCGCATTCTGGTAATGCAGTAATGCAGCTTTACTTGGATTAGTAATAGTAATATTATTAATGTTTTGGAAATAGTAATCCCTTATATTACATTTTACTGGGAAAAGTAATGATATTACAATGACGCGTTACTGAGTAATGGCCACAGCAGACCTAACCTCAAACCAAGACCAAACTATAACTCAATCCCTTAAAATATGGCTGTAGACTGATGCCAAAATGCTGCTTTGTTTAACGCTTGCATGTTATTGATGCTTAAAAAAAAAGAAAGAAGATAATTAGCAAAGTCAAAATTCCTTTCAGTCTAAAATTTCCATTGTTTGTTTGCTGACCTGGTTATCAGTTTTGTTCTATGTACATGGGTCTCTAATTAAATCTGTGTGTTTGTGTCCTTCAGGTGTATGGAGAGTGTGAGTTATCTGCCTACGTCGACTCTCATGTCAAACTTCAAAGTTACTCCTGTGCACTCCGTGAAGGTAGATCAACGGTGTTATTTACACTCATCTGGGACAGAAACACATTTTCTAAGTCTCTGTGTTAGAAAGTGTTGCAAGTCTTTTCTTTAACGCTTTGAATTTGGAAATGTTAGTGAGGTGTGAAATTAAAGATGCTCAGATATGTTGAATTCTTTCTCTATATATGCTCTGTCCCGAAATACCTCCCTAAGTCAGGTAAACATCACTATCCCCAAATGCAGAGTTGCAGTTGGATATTTAAGTGAATATATATCTCACTGATAAAATAATCATTTTACTTTTTGTCAGCAATTTGGCTTAGTGAAGGAGAACACACCTGAGTAAAGCATGCTGTCAGAGGGAAGCTGAAGATAGATCCCATACTGTGGGATGGAGGTTAGGGAGGGAGGACATGCACACCATTCAACAAACACTTTTCCTCAGCTACGTACCATTGACCTTTGACCCATATAATTCTTGTGTTTAGTTCCTTCCACTGCAGTGGTGGGTGTGTGTCCGGACTGTCCCACAGCTGAAAACTTGAATGAGCCCGTCATCAAGGAGACAGCCAATCTCTCCCTGCAGAGGTTCAATGAAGAGAGCCGCCTGGCCAACTACTTTACTGTGGAAAACATTACGAGAGCCAGTTCACAGGTTAAGAAACAAACAAAATAATCAACTTAAAGATGATGGACGATGTGTCTCTTGTTGTAAAGAAAATATTTTTTGTTGGTTATTATCAGATTCATCCTTCAAGTCTACACCTTCATAATGCTGTGATCTTAAAAGGGTTAGCCACTTAAATGTGGCACAACTTGTGTCTTTTTTCTTTGAAAAGTATCATTGGAGATTGATTATATTTGGTAGCTGAGTGAGAAAGTATATGTTTAGAAATCTTGACTGAATTACATCTTTCCAACCAAATGATTTTAACATTCTCATTTTGGAAAGCATTTCACAGGTGTACAGTATACTTACACTTGTCCATGTATGTGTATGTGTCCATGTATTATGTCTTTTTGTCCTTGGGTGTCAGTGGGTTGTTGGTCCATCGTACTTTGTGGAGTTCACCATTCTGGAGACTGTGTGTTCAAAGAAAACAGATGTCAATGAACTGAGCAACTGCCCACCTATGGACTGTCAGTTTGCTGTGAGTCACACACACACAAAAATATATGAAGGCTCTTAAAATACGAGTTCTTAAAACTGGGATTTCTACCGTCTAAAGCTGAACTAGATTGTTGGATGTGACATTTTGATATGCAGTTTGGATGCTAGATGCTTATTTGTTTAAATGGTATTGATGGAAGAGAGCTCTAAGAACTCCCAAGAAATATAGTCTTGTTTAAATAAAAAAAATAACTTAAGCTGATGGTGGTGGTGCTCGTGGTCGTGAGCTTAATAGCTCATTTATTTTAATACTTTTTCTCTGTCTAGTCTTAGTTGTGGTGGTTGTTGCTCGTGCACGCCACCTTGGTTCCACTCCTTTGCTGATACTTTTCTGGCTTCAAACAACATGTCAGCACTAATTTGTAAAGTCAGGCTCAGCTCTTCTTGACTTCTTTTCTCGCAGCATAGAGGCTTCTGTTTGGGCTCCCACATGGCCCATGAGGACCAGTTTGAAATCAGACTCCCTGTCGGAAAGAAGGACAGCTCAGTTCAAAATCAGAAGCCTGTAGAGGTGAAGTGTGAGATCTACGAACCTCAGGTACCTGCTTCAACTGCGGTGATGCACCACACAATAGGACTTAATATATCTGATCTTCAAAATGTTAAATGTGCATATACAACAAACTAATTATTGTAATCCATCTACCAATCTATTAATTGTATCTTTGATATTCTGATATCTGAAATTTAGATTTATGACGGAAGGAAGGCTTTTAGAGATTTCTTCAAAGTTCCAGAAGACAATATAGTTTAACACTGAATCAAAGACTGTGTGTAAAGTGAAAAGGGTTGCTTGTAGTGATGAAAACACAGAGAAATACCATCCAATTCTGCCACAAACAGTGCTTTTCATTTTCTTAAGAGAGAGAGTATTATGGTACAGTCTCACCACTCTCATCAACATGTTCCTTTACATTTTCTTCAGTAGAGGCTGAAATAATGAGCCACAATGTGTCTTTGTTTTTTCTCTTCCTCTGTAGGCTGCCGCTGTGGAGGAGCAAGCCCACGCAAAAGCAGACAGTGGGCACACGGGGCATCAGCATGACAATCACACGCACCTGCACCCCCATGAGCACATGCACTCAGTCGCACCCAGCTCAGACCTCACTGTCTCAAACCCACGGGGCTCCCTCGGGACCGTGGTGGATCAGCCTGCTCCTCTTAGATCTTCCCCGGCAGCCAGCTCCTGCCCCGGGCCACACACACACAATCTGGGCTTAAACAAACTCAAGCTCTAATTAGCTGGACTAGGAGGGTTGATCTTTGATCAGCTACATTTTTAAGCTACATTTTTCCTGCATGTTGTAATTAGTTAAGACAATAAATTGTAACCTATAATTAAAACCAGAGAGGGCAGTAAGTTGTGCCAACAGATTACATTTATTGTTTGATTAAAGCATTTACATAACAGGAAGTTGTACCATTTTCTGGCATCACATGGGAATTGTAACTTTTTAAACCACCTTAAATTAATGATTATTTGATTTATCGTAAAAGGTTACGTTGATGTAAGTGTGAGCAAATTGTGAACTGTGAGGCACAGATGGACAGAGAGACATTATAAGACAGAGATACTCTATGAATAAATGTCTGTAAGTCCCTCCAGAACTTGCCTGAGAATAATCACATTTTTAAGTTTTCTTCAGTATCAAAGCAATCCAGTGATAGTTGTCTGTATATCCATTGCTGACAGGAATTGCTAATGGACAATTCGGCATGCTTTAAATGGTGCCAATTTTACACAATCTAAACCAAAAAAAGGCTATAAGAACTAGGCTCAAGGTTTATCTTACAGCTAACTAAATTACCTGCCTATCTCATACATCTCCAAAAGCATTACCCAAAACTTAACAGCATGATTATCCTCCAATTCAAAGTATGACAAGAATAGGAGTGACAAAATCCATTATCCATTAGCTTTGCATCAATATTTTGACATTAGTAGATGACAGAGGAGGAGGCCCAGTTGTCTTAGTTTATCTGAAGAGAGTTCCACAGTCTCACACTAATGTTTTATTGATTATTATAAAGGACTTGGTGGTGCATTTCTCAGAAACACAAAGTGATTTTAATATCCTTAATTTTAAGATTAATAATGTTCACATTGTACGCTTGTTCAAAGATTTTTAAAGTGTAAGTGTAATATTCAGCCATGTACTTAGTAACTTAGTAACTTGATAATATTAATCACTGTTAAACTGTTTTTTTTCCGTAAAATGAACCCGGCAAACACATTTGTTTTCTGTATGATTTCTTCCATATTGTTTGTTGTTGTACAAAGACTGGCAGACATTGTAAATGATCAGATTTGAGTACAGTGTGTACAGTTTTTTCATGTTACTGATTTAACATATCTGAAAGGCTAATTCCTTGTTTTCATGCTAAAACATTTTTCTTTAAATATTTGCTTCCATATTTTTATATTTTTGTGAGTTGCAACATTAACTTTAGGTTTAATGTCTTTTTAAGATACATTATATTGGCCAATACACGACTCTTACCATAGACTACCACCACAATAATAATGGAAGGATAATTATCCAAAGTATTGGCTAAGTAGGCTAAATAAATATATAATGTTTCTGTTCACTTGCATACGGGCTAAACATGAAAATTGAACTAACAGAAAGCTCAACACACTGAGATGTGATAAGCAGAACTGTGTTCTACTGCAACAACAAAGTAAGAGAACCAACGCGTTTTTCCTCCATGTTTACACGCTGTGGTTCAGGTGTCCCCTCTCAGCTCCCGCACTCGGGAGTGGCTCGCCGTGATCGTATAGTGGTTAGTACTCTGCGTTGTGGCCGCAGCAACCCCGGTTCGAATCCGGGTCACGGCAAAATTTTCAAATCCACCGCGGATGCTGGATCGTCATAAAACAGGTCAGGCTACGCTCTTCATTGACAGTGTTGGCCTACAGTTTGGTTTCGCAAATAATATTTCACTTCAGCGGCAGCAGAATACATTGTTAAACAAATAACCATAACAGAATGGCAAAGAGAGTGCCACAAATTGACTAAATACGAGCAATATAATGCTGAGGCACTGTTTTGTACTTTCGCTTCAGTAGGGTAATGTAATGTAATGTAAGCTCCGTTTTTACTGCACCATATTTAGTACATTTAAGAGCTAGGTAGGCCTACTAGATACAGCAGAAAACTACAGCTATAGGCTATACAGAAGTATTCAAATTTAGCTTATTCTGCGTAGGGTCGCGGGGAAAGTAAAATAGAGGCTATTAAAATATAAAATGTAGGCTATTAATGTAATTATTAACAAAATTTGTTGTTAATATTGATCCTACAATTTTAAATGTAGGACTTAAATTACAGTATTGTTTATTTTAGTTAAGTAAACATTTTAGTACACACAGTATTAAGTTAACACAGTAACAGTTTTACAAGTTAATCACAATTTTTAGCTACAGTCTATGACTACAATTCATAGGCTGAAGATGATGACAAGTAAGAAACAAACACAGCATGAAAAGTACATCACAGTCATGTGAAGATGGCAGTTGAAAAAGATTACAGTAAGTTGTGAAAACTCCACACAGATAATAAATGATCCTATAAACTAATTCACAGCTTTATGGTGGAAAAGTGGATCGAGGAAAATCATGACAGCAGATGTCAACGCTGTATCGGAATAGAAAAAGTGGCACAGTGGAAGCTCCCGAACAGCTGCAACTTTAACTTTTATTGCAGAATGTATTGTAAATAATTCTGTGAGGAAGTTTCAATGACCCGTCCAACTAAATGGTGTGCTGGGTTTATTGTGTGTATCTCAATCTCAATGTGTGTGCAGACATATCTCATCAAGACGTTTCTTGCTGGCCATTATATCAGATTGAAAATGAATCACACCTCTTGCCCTCGATAGGTTTACTGCTGTGAGTTAGGCACCAGACTGAGTCAAGGGGCCCACAACAGAAAAGCATTGCTGTGATTTGTGGCGGCAATTTCATTGGCCTGTTAAGGCTGAAACACACAATGTGCTTGGTAGACTGAGAGAATGTGAAACAGTTCAGGAGAACCAATTGGACCTCAGTCTCCAGGGGAGTCTGGTTGAATACAAATTAATTTACTCGTTTATAAAAGAGTCCTCTGGCTGCCAAGCAACACAGTCACTAATGTTTACTGTTAGACAATACTGAGTGATCCAAGGAAAAGAAAACTCACTCATAAAGTTGCATACAGTAAGTGTTGTATTGGACGCTTAGCATTGTTCTCTCAGTGTAATTAATTGAAGGCAATGCTGAGATGTAGTCACTTTCAACTGTTTCTAATGTGCAAATACATGTTTTCTTTTCTTTTCAGTCATACATCAGTCTTAAACTGTGTTTTCTGGACGCAATAAAATGAATGTATAGAATGAAATATTCACACTGTTAAGACATACCAGTAATAAAGAGGATCGTTGATCTTATTTGTAGAGGTAATTCAAGCTAAAAACACAATCTGATGGTGCAAATACATTATATAAATAGGTTTTCTAGGTATTTATGTGAAATTTCTTTTGCAAATTCACATAAATAGATTATTTTGGTCAGAGAAGTGTTCTGCATTTCATAGTGTGTCCACATGGTGCCGCCCTTACTTCTGTTTTCACTTCACAGATATATATATCAATCTGCAACAGAGAGTCATGTTATAAACATATTGACGTGAGATAATGTTTAACTTTATTTTCTTTAGGAAAATTCTGCATACGTCCTTTAACTCACACATAAAACAAACTTCAGGGGCTGCCTTTTTCATCTTTGTAACATTGCAAAAATCAAAAACCAGACACATCCTGTCTCAAAATGATGCAGAAAAACTAGTCTGTGTATTTGTTCTTTTTAATCTGGATTCTTGCAATTCTTTATTATCAGTAGTCTCTTAAGACTCTCCAGTTGAGCTAGAATACTGAAGCGGGTGTACTGACGAGAACCAGGGAAAGAGATCATGTCCCCTGTATTTGCTTCTCTGCATTGGCTTCCTTTAAAATTCAGAATATATTTTAAAATCCTTTTCTTCACCTACAAAGCTCTTAATGGTCAGGCACCACCTTATCTTAAAGAGCTCATAGTACCTTATTACCCCACTAGAACCTTATTCTCCCAGGATGCAGGGTTACTTGTGGATGCTATAGAGTCTAGTCTAATGGGAGCGAGAGCCTTCAGCTATCAAGCTCCTCTCTAGTGGAATTAGGTCCCGCTTTGGATTTGGGAGGTAGACACTATATCCACATTTAAGAGTTTCCTCTTTGACATAAAGTTAGGGCTGCCTCGGGCGAGCTCTGAACTCAAGAAAAATTTGAGGGGTCACCAGATACCTCTGTTACGCAAAAAAAGTATATATTTTTAGGTTTTTCTCAAAAATGTTTTATCTTCTTTTGAGAAATACTGGACCCTTCTTGAGGCTTGTAAAAATCATTTAAATGAGTCTTTATTATTGCTTCAGTACTGTTAAAAAAGCCATTTCATACCAGGAGTCTTCCTGTAAACTGATGGCAATGTCATCTGATCGGTCCACCAGTTCAGTCCAGATTGAATAATCCCAACAACTACTGGATGGATTGCCATGAAACCTTCATTGTGCTCAGAAGATGAATCCTATTGACTTTAGAGATACCCTGACTGTGAGTGCTGCTCTATCGACCATGCCACACTGTGGAATAAATGTCACTAACAAAGCACATCTTAAATAAGCACTGCAATAAGATGAGTGCAATAGGTTTTGGTTGCACTTCCATAAAGTTATTACTGAGCCCTGGAGTCACTCTTTTCCAAACATCTAAGCAATCTAATAACTGTCCAAACGGAAGTATTAAAATGAAAACTATGCTGAACATGTTCCTTTCTTGGATAATGGATCACACCCCTGAGCGTGAGCTGCGATTTCTCTGTTCCACTAATAGTCCACGTTGTGACACAGCTTCAGGCACAATTATACATGTATTGTTGTGATTATTTGTCCCACTGTTTCCTTTCTTATCTTTATCAAAGAAACTCTCCTAGGAAAAGTGAATCCACTCCTCTAGTTGTGTGCCCCACATTCTTTGAAAATTGCCATTATTAATTCAGCTTAAGAGGCCCTCAAGACGTGTATATGGCTGTGTGTGTGTGTGCGCACTAATGTGTGCATATGTGTGCGCCGGCAGTATCCCACACTGTCATTTGTGGGTGTGCTTGCTGTTGCTTGTGGCGGAGATTCAGGGCTCCTGCTGACACACTGACCTCACACTGAATGGAGTTGGCACCAAAAGAAAACCAAAGCTCTGAGACACTCACACTGAGACGTGAGGCTGGTGTGTTCAGATTAATCAGCTCAAGACAGTACTTAGTTCAGTTTTGCATGTGAAAAATACCAGCTTAGTGTGAATGCAGGAAAAAATTTGTTTTCAGATATAGTGTGAAAATAGTCTCAGGAAGTGTCCAAAATCAGTCACTATTTGGTATAAAGAGTACATTACATTTATTCATTTAGCTGACGCTTTTATCTAAAGCAATTTACAATTGCTATATATGTCAGAGGTCGCATGCCTCTGGAGCAGCTAGGGGTTAAGTGTCTTGCTCAGGGACACATTGTTTCACAGTTGGTTCGAACCTGGGTTTCTCACACCTAAGGCATGTGTCTTAGCCGCTGCTCCATCACCACCCCCACTAGCTGGACTGCCATTTTTTTGTGTGTGTCCGAATTTGGAGTATGTAAATTTATCCACTATACATACTATCCCAGCATGCACTGGGCAAGAGGCGGCGTAAACCCTCAACAGGTCACCAATGTTTGACATACAGTAAGTCCCCTCATACATTTACCTCATCCTTACCTGAGGGCAAACACATCATTACATGTGACTTGTCTAATACATGTAACACACACTGGCTTATGAAGGATTAATGGTATTGTGTAGAAACTAAGTCCAAATTGCCCAAATTGAAAGCTTTGTGGTATAACTCACCAACACTAGACCGCAGCATTGCTGCCATATCTTTTCCATGTGGCTGTGAAAGCCTTACATGTTGCCGTTTGGCTTTTAAGTGGAACCATGCTGTTATTGTGCACTGATCTCCAAAACTTACTTCATGTAGGAAGCATATGCTTTAAAAGCCAAAGCCCTAATCAACAGATCAACAAGTATTTGAAGACCTGGCAGGGATTAGGTTGCTCTCAATCCTTTTTTAAAGAGCCTTAAGAGCCCATAGGGTCCCTAAGAGGGGGACTGGTTGTATTTAGCAATAATTCCTCATGCAGAGACAGCAGTTGGGCTTGTCTGCCATCTAGCTGTTTTGCTGTCATGAGAGCAAGGTGGTCACAACCTCGGGGACTTTTAAAGGAAAAATAGCCAAGGAGATATTGTTCAAAATACTGAATATGGAAAAAAAAGAGGCATTAATATGAGTGCTCTTTGGGCCTCACTGCACAAACATTGTGCTTGAAAACTTGAGGCTCAGTTAAAGCTTGTAGACTGAGATGTGACATAATCTGGTAGCCAGATGCCAGTTTTGAACCAACCACGTACATCATCATTCTACCACCGCACGAGCCCTCAGGACACCATTAGCAGCAGTACTTTATATATTTTCTAAAGAGGTGTTGAGAATGTGAATTACTGCTGCCCCACTTCCCCTTCCCTGCTCGCCTGGGACCACCTTTAGGCGAGCGCTGCCTCTTTACTCCCAGGGTGACACAGATGGTCTGTGCATTATACAACATGATGACTGCATTAAACATGAACACAGCTCTGTCTGCTGACTAGATGTTTTTTTATTCCAGATGCTTGCACAGGAGGACGCTCAGTGCGACACCAGCATCTTATTATTCTAAATGTTCTAAATTAGCAACATCAACTGTATGTATTGACTTTTGATATTTTAAATTAAAGCCAGTGTCCGCAGCTTTGTTCAGCATCTTAAATATGATCTGGTCCCCTATGGATGCAAGTATGAATCAGTGTCCCATTTTGATGTTACTGAGGACAGTTAAACACATTTCTCCTCTATTAATCTGTGTGTTTATTTTGTAAAAGCATACTTATTTTAACCCATGGGATCTGAGGTCACTTTGTTATTCGCTTTACATAGAATAATAAACTGAAGTCCTTGATTTTGTTACCTAAAAGCTTAGAAAAATTCCATTTCGTCCTTGAAAGACCAAAGTGAAGCTTCAGATGGTGATTCTCAGTCTGTCCTTACATGTTTGATTATTAAAGCAGCCTGTCTACTAATTATGCAAAAAGAGAAACATGAATTAAGGGGGTTATTAGGGAGTTTATGAAGAGATAATGGGATAAAAAAAATAGGAGGTAATGAAATTTTGTCAGCTTATTTCTGTTTCTGTTATGAGCGATGAGTCATTCATAAACAAATGTATACAAGCCTTTTGTTGAATAATTCAGGGGGTTCATTAATATAGTATATACCAGAGAAAGGAAAACTGAAAGAAATTTAAATTTCATATTTTATGATACCTATAGGCTTTATGTGCTAACAGATATGGCCACTAGTTGGTAGCCTTGCCTTTTTATTTTATTCAGAGGTTGACATTTGTGTTTACTACACATCAACCCCATCTGTAAACCCATATAAACGTTTCATATTCTCATCACTCCTAGCAAGCCTCTTTGATCATTTTCTCACAGGTGATGATTAAACCACATATTTTCTGCCATAGTATGTGTTCTTCAGTCAAACAGAAGCGATTCCTTTTATATTAGCCAACAGGTAATTTGTTTTACCTAGTGTGCTTATTAAAACTGTGGCTGTATCGTATCACGTGTTTAAATAATAAAGCCAAGGTTATAGAAAAGAAATGTGAACAAACAGGATGCGACACTACTTCTTTCTGTTCGTGAGTTCCATTCAGGTTATTCCCATGAATGTGTGTGTTGAGGGTAGGAGGGGAGAACGGGGCAGTTTGAGCCCCTCCTCCAGAGAGCCACGGTGCGCCTATGTTCCAATAGAAACAGGTGGGATCCCCGGACTCCTCCAATCACACCCTCCCTCCGTGCGGGCTGGGGGGGGAGTCCAGAGCAGGAGGCAGGACCCAACCAACTTCCACACTCACCACAGGAAAAGTCGTGAAAACAAATCTGTCCCCGCATGTCGCTGTTTCTGGTGGCCTGCGTGTGTTTTTTTGTCCAGCTGTTGCTGTGAATATCAGCAGCGCAGCAGTTCGCCGGAGCGCTGGTGAAGTAGTTGCCGACACTTGGTCGCTGTAGGGCGGTGTAGTAGCGTTGTGACGCGCCGGCGGGACGGTTCGCTGCGATGGGGAACATGAAACGTTTCTAACCGGATTTGGAATTGTTTTTTTTTGTTTTTTTTTTTCTTTTCTTGGATTAATCCCTGTTAAACCCACACGGCTCGTTTTCCGTTGATATTCTCCTCTTGGTTCCCGTGGTAGTGCGGAGTAGGAAATACTTTGAAAATGCCTGGAAAAACCAAGTACAACCTCGTTGATGATGGTCATGATTTGAGGATCCCATTGCACAACGAGGAAGCTTTCCAGCATGGGATCAACTTCGAGGCAAAGGTAACGTAAAATTCACAAGCAACTGTGTAAAGTTCAGATAAATAGCCGGTTAGTTAACGTTATTCATTAACGTCTAATTTAAATATAACGTGTGCTTTTGATTAGCGAACCTGTCTAAACAGCAAACCAACACTGTACTATTTTTAAATTGTGTTGTATTAAAAAGACTTATCAAAATTACTTATTAAACAACGTTTGGCGACTTTTTTGGGACCGAAATCTAAGTTAATTCTGAGAGATTTAATTAGCTAGTAGGCCTGACGTTATGCAAGTTGTTAATTTAGCCGACAGTTGAGAGACTGCAGTTGCACGGAGTTAACGTTAATAATTAACTTAAGTAACTTAGACACATGCCATGTTGTTTCTTTAATGTGTTGTACCTGTCATGTTTTTTACTTTCCTGCCAACAGTACATCGGCAGTCTGGATGTGACGCGGCCGAGCAGCCGAGTGGAGATTGTGGCTGCGATGAGAAGAATACGGGTGCGTAGAATCCCCCTTTAAAATCTTGCATTTTTCTCCTTTCTCGCTTATCATCTAATAAGCATATCAGGTACAAAACGAAATTAGGTGTTTTAGGATTACCTGTGATCCACTGCTACATTCGGCGCGTGTATGATTGAATGAACAGTAACTTAAAGTTGAGGAAAACGTTTTGAACTGGTTTACTTTCCTCCCTTGGTGACACTAACTTTCATTGAAGACTGTGGGAATATGAGCAGACTATGTGATGTGAATTGAAACACTACTAAAGTGCTTGTGAATATTTGATTTATTTTGCTCAGCTGAAGTTTCATGTTGGGGGAGTTTTGCTCACTAGCCCTGGTAGAGAAATTTGGCCATTTGAATTGTGAAATACATGTTATTGTATGCTAAATGCACAAATTGATGGTTTGAATAATGATTGGACTACTTGTGACCTTTTGCACAGAAGCCCCAGAGAATGACCTGACAAATGGACAACAAAACAAACAACAACAGAAGCACAACAAAAATAGGCATATTGTTAAACAGATGATTGGAAAGGCTAAGGATGGTGTTATCATTTATAGATAGACAGTATGAAGGCTGGGTCTGAAAACACCTTAGACTTAAACTGTGCAGACTTTGTACTTGCCTGGCGGGAGGTTTGGTCTCCCATGTGTTCTATCACAGTTTTGAAGTTTCCTTTGAAGCAATGCACTGGAGTGTGATCTCTCTCTTTCTCTCTCTCTCTCTGTCTCTCTCTCTCACTCTGTCTCTGTCTATGTCTCTCTCTCTCTCTCTGCTGTGTAAACCTAAGATTTACAGCTTTTTCAGCTCAGAAAGCAGACTCAATCTTAATCAGTGTGTCTGCCAGCTTGGCAGCAGTTTGCTTAGCAACCTAATACAGGTTGAGCCAGTGGTGTAGAGGTATTTGCGGGACTGTTGTGATAAACTGGTAGGTGTGCTGTGATTAATTGATGATTCCTTCAAAACCACACACACACAGACAGAGCTGCACAGGCAACACAAGCACACATTTTGGTTGTTTTTTATTACCTAATCATTTTAAGGGAGAATTTGAAAGCAGGTTAAAATAAATGCTATAAAGAATGAACGCACAATCATTTCACTTTTACCATTTTCTACTAAATTCACTGTAGGTTAGCAACGCCAGTGGCAGAGGGAGTGCAGTCTTTATTTGCATGTTGTTAAGTGATGAAGTTCATTCCAGCAGGGCAGCCGCTCTCATATATCCGTGTGTACACACAGTTGAACATAAGGTGCAAAATGTTCTTATTGCCCTTTTTAGAGAAGTGACCTGCTCCTATAAAGTGGACCTCCCAGTGTGCTGCCATGGCAGCTGCTGTTGTTGGCAGGAAAACAGGCTTTGGTTTGGCTCCTCCAGTGTGAAAATGGTTTGACTCTGCCTTGACAACACAATGGAGGGAAACCACAGGTATCTAACTTGGAAGGGAGGTCACACTGGAAAGCATAAGACTGCTGGACTAGCTCTGAAGGCATTTGTTTTACTTGAGTAGCAAGTAAGCCAAAGCAACCTTTACTGAATGCTCATTTAAGAAAATGAGAGAAAACCCACAATGGAGTGAACAAACTTGTTTTGGGAGTGAATCACAAGAACAGTAGTAGTTGTTTTTCATATTGAGTAATACATGCTTATACCATCCACAAAAGTCTGACTGTTGAGTTGGATATCGTGCAGTTAAAAAAAAATATCTCATTCAGAATCTGACTCTGCTTGATGAGTAAGAAAAGAAACCAAAACATATAGTGAAACAGAAACCGCCTTTATTATCTTATTGATGTCATCCATAATATGTTTTGAGGTATTTTGTGATTATCTTTAGTAAAAACAAACAAATAAATAAAACATACCGTAACTCACCATACACAATTTTAATGCTCACTGAATTTGATTCATTCTCACACTATGCTGCGGTGTCACCATTATTCATGCTTTTTTAAATTTTACTTCCCTAAACTGCTGGAAGTTTTTACTGTGTAGCAGATACAGAAAGTACTGGGGGAAGTGTTTGCTGACCAAGCATGGTGAAGGCACAGATCAGAGGCTTCTACTCTGTCTGTTGAATGAGCGGGAATACACAGGTACATCACAACAATGACACTGTAGACTACATCACATACAGTCAAACATGACAGATTTTCCTGTACATAGGTTTTTTATTAATCTATGATAGTGAATATAAGGATTTCCAGACCACTGGAAAGCATTTCCGAACTAAGGCATACATAGTCACTACAAGAAGTGGGTGAAAACCTTTTGGATTCAGAAAAGAGTTTAGTCAATTAGTCTAGCAGTCTTTCGTAGTCTTAATGTAGCCACAGTAGGTATTTTTTCTTCATTTTGAAATAAGTCAACCCTGACACTCTCGTTTTTTGGCTCCATCAAGTACCACAGTCTGTGGTTACAATTTTAAAAGTATTTCAGGCACAATGAAGCAAGGACACATTCGTCTATTTGCTCTTTCATGTAACTTTTGATGCCTTGTGGAGTTTCTGAAAGAAAGTTTTGTTACATGATGCTCCCCACAGAGATTTCTATCAGCCTCTCTTACTGCAGTCAGTCAAAGCTATGCTGGCTGCCAGGCAACCGGTTGATGTATGGTGTCATTGTTCATTGTGTGCATGAGTCACCTGTAAGCCGGTAGCTGATAACAAGCTAATGAGAGGGCAAAGCAGGAAATAGCCACCTACAGTGGAGCAATACGTGCAGCGCTGCAGGATCTGGCGTATTTCGTCAGTCTCACATGTGCATGTTATTCTTGAGTGACTCTCCTCAGAAATAAATGGGGAAACAGTTTATCACAAATATAGAAAAACTATTTCACTTGGTGAAACTCCCTTGCCAGCATAAAAATCTACTGCTTAAAAAGTTTTGTTTACCAATTTCTCAAGCATATCTGAATTGTTTCTCTCGTGTTGGTTGTAAGGCTGCAACTCGCCATTATTTTCATTATAATTGTGATAGGTTTTTGAGATTATTTGATGAATTAATTAATCATTTGGGCTTTAAAATCAGAGTATAGTAAAAAAAAATATGCAAATCACATTTTTAGAAGAATTGTTGAGTGATGTGTGGCATTCCTGATTGATTAATGGTGAATTGACTAACAAAACTGTTAATTTGTTTTCTGTCAAACTAATTAATTGATGGACTAATCATTAGAAGCACTAGTCCTGGTGTTCTCCAGATTTCGGCTGTAAAAAAATTGTAGATAAATGATGATCTGAAATGGCTTGAATGAACTTCAGAAGGAGAGAACAATCACCATTAAGCCATCGCATCTCTAGCTCGCCTTTTGTCGTTGTCAGCTGAAGTCCACATTGAGATGAACATGCTCTGTAATATAAATGTCCTTACTAATTAAATGTTTTATTATCATCAACTGGCAAAGTCTGGTAGCAGTTTATCTGGTTAAAACGAGAGGAGACCTTTTACAGTGAATTAAAAGGATTAATTTCTCATTAATCTGCTTTTTCTGGGTTAACTGACCGTAGGAAGATGGAGCAGCATGGGATGAGAAGATTAGGCGTGTCTGTGGAGACATCTGATGAGACTGAAAAAGCACAGCGGTGGTGCTGGAATGGGGAAAAAGAGAGGAATAGAAATCCTTTTTGCTTCCCTCCAGCTGCCAGGCTGAACAGTGTGGACCAGGACCTTTGTGTGTTCATTGGGCAGCTAACAAGCATCTTTTAAACACTGATTAACTGGTGGGAAGACACATTGGAAGTTCATTAGTTCTGCTTTCAGTGTACACTTTATAGTCCTGTTATTGTCTTTTCATGAGTAGTACAGCGTAGTGAGATCTGGAGTGCAGAAATCAACCGGAGGCAGAATATTAGCATGTTAATGATGCGTCATTGGAGCATTATAACATGAGCAGAGTCGTAGAAGGGGCTGTGGAGCCATGTGTTGACCTGCGTCAGGTTGTGTCGTTCTCCTGTGATTGTCATGTGCCCCCAAGGCCTGCTCTCACCCACACAGCACCTCTACAGTGAAGTGTGTTATCAAGAGAAAGTGTCAGGATCATATACAGTTGGGTGACAAATGAAAAGAAAAGCCAACATGAGGTGTCTTGGTATCGGGACACGAGCCTCCAGAACAGCTTTAGTGCTCCTTGCCAAGTCTGTGGAAGTCCCTTTGGAGGCATCTCCACAAGATATTCCCATATTTATATAGTTTCAGCTCTAGTCAAGTAGTAAATTATCTGTACATTCAAATTCAAAACTTTCTAGATAAAACAACATGTTGAAAATGTTTTTTCACTGATTATTTTTCCTTTATAGGGATGTCAAAAAGAAAAAGGGCAAAACAAATCCAGTATTTTTATTTTATAGATGACTGGAGTGATAAATGAGTTTTTGAAATTCATAATATTCCGCACCAAATTTTTTGTTAATTTTATAATATATAGAGTTCCAAATTGTTCCAACAGTATGTGCTATGACATACTCCCACACAGAGGCTTTTTTCATCACGACAAGGATATAACTCTCTCTGCAGGTATCAATACGGTATCACATTAACATGAGGCAGAGTAGGGCCACAAGTCAGTACAAAACATCAAAGAAAGAGAAATTTTTCTCGTTAAATTACACCAAAAATTGATTGTCAAAATAGTTGCCGATTGATTTAATAGTTGACAGTTAATCGGTTAAATGTTGCAGCACTATTACCTGTTACAGCTAAGCTGAATGACTCAGTGAATTCTTTACATGGTTGTTAGTGCAGTTGACTTAGACTTTGCATATTTGCATAGTCCTGTGTGCACAAGAAAATGCACACAAACAGTATTTACACTCATAATGTAGCTGTGGCTGTATTTACTTAAGAACTGTCTCAGCATATTTCCCACCACTCCCCTGTCATGGCTTTGTTTGGAATTTATAATGGCATCCTTATTTATAAGTCTTCACAGGGATGTTTTAATATAGAACCAGCGAGTAAGTATAGCAGGTGAAAACGGCAGATAACCACA